CTAGCCCATGAGCCCGCTGGGCTCGTGCTCGGGCTCGGGCTCGAGCTCGTTTTTTTACGAGCCCGAACGGCTCATGGGCGTGAACAGTACGAGCCGAGCGGGTGAGCCGACGAGCCGCTCGGCTCATTTGCCACCACTAGGTGCGTTGTCACGTGACACAACGTAAAAATTGATGTAAAAAATGATGGCCATATAGCATGATTGTTAATTTCAACATCCACATATTACATTAGTTAAAGCGATGTCAATAGATGGAATCAATAGATTTTTAAGTAAATCAAAGTTTGGTTATCGGTAATGAATTTTAGCCCTTATATGATATATGTTCTTTAAAACTTATTTCTAACCACACATTCTCTCAATAAAATAATATTGATCGTGGACTCGTACCATTTTTCTACATTTTGGCTATATATTATGAAAAAAAAATTCAATTTTAACAAAAAATTATTTTCAAGAAATCTACATCAAACATGCCCTTGCACCAAAAAGGTAGGTGAAGAAACTAATGGAGGAGAAACTGTTACTTGCAGTGTGGTGCCCACGCAGACCATTTCATAGCCAAATCAATTAGACACCATTACCCTTTAGAATTTCATCCAAAGTTCCAACCTTTAGCCTAATGCAAGGATAAAGTGGACATTTTACACGAAAATTTCTGGCCCGATAGCCCCGTAACGGAGTTGGTGACACGAACATTTGACCAACTTAAACCAAACCACACGCCATTGCTTGCTGTTGAAAATTTTGCTCTGAAATTCTGCTAAATTTTCGAAAATTTGAATATTTTCAAAGGCCCAGTTGTTGAAAATGCATGATTTTTGCTTTACAATCCCATATGGGCTGATTCTGGCGTGCGGTGGGATCATTGGTTATGCTAAGAAAGGCAGCACAGCCTCACTCGCCGGAGGACTTGGCACCGGATTCTTGCTTATACTCGCCGGTTATCTCAGCCTTCAAGCTTTCCACAAACGCAAAAACTCCTATTTGGCCTTGATTATTGAAACTGGTACTGCTTATTTTCTTAAAGCATACTTATGGAAATTATTAATATAGCATTTGGGTAATTTTTTGTGATTATTTGATGTCTTTTGGAGAATCATGCATTTATCCGTATCCGGTTAAATTATGTGGATTGGATCTAATTGTAGCAACTATAATTAAGAAATTAAGAAGACAGCTATAAAATTTTGTCTAGATCTGGAAAAAATGAATATGGTTTCTGCTAGTATTAAAAAAAAAATGGTTTGATGTCATCTTGTTTCTTCTTGCTATTTATGCGACTGAAATAGCTCACTCTAGATTCTGAGCTTGGTAATATTTGTTGACTGGCGTTTTAACTCGCTTATCTCTGAATTTTGGGTTATCGTTGCACAATGAAAAATAAATTTATGGAACATCAAGAGCATATGTTATGGCAATGTTAAGTCCTGGATGTAGATTTCACACTAAATTTTATGAAATTTGACACTGAATCTGAAAACTTAAAAAGAGTAGTGTTGCTTCTCATGTCCGACTATTCAAGAAACGAATATCGCTTTGCATCACAGCTTTTTCTTATCCACAGTTAAGAGTAGAATCAAAATGGAGTAAGCTCTTCAATTTCCAAATCTCTGGAGTAATTTAGGGCCTGTTTGATGCATACTTTTTGAGAATAGATTTTGTGAAAAGTGATTTTTTTTGGAGACCATGTGGTTAAAAAATAGGAAAAAATTATGGGTCCACGTGTAAAATTATTTTACTGGGAGAATGTGTGGTCGAAAATAAGTTTCAAAAAATTTGTACCAAACAAGGCTTAATGTCTGAGTTGTATCTGCTTCTGTTCTTATGAATTTTACATTGTCTTAAACAGTTTGTGCTGCCATACTGACTTGGGTCATGACACAGCGTTACATGCAAACTTCAAAGATAATGCCTGCTGGCATTGTTGCTGGGATCAGGTAACTGAAAATGATAAACTAGCCCCTTTGCATCTGGTCTTTTGTGTTCAAACTTGCATTGTAGAGTTTTGGAGTTGGTGCATTCATTCCTTTTGTTATCTCTCATAATTCATATTGTATAACTTGACGTGTTTAATTTTTTACATACCACGTATCATATTATAGCAAGGCGTAAATTACTTTTCAAAAAATGAAAAGTGCAGTAGAGAAAGTTCACAAAGCTTGCAAATTATGACATCTAGTCTGGGGAAGACTCGGTGCTGCGTGATTTTACCTATTCCAAATTCATAATTACTCTTTACTAAAAAAAAATCTAAATAACTCACTTTTCCGTTCACCTTGAGGGATATTGAAGCTCATTAGATGATTGATCATGCAGATCTGTTAGTAAACATATTTCTATAGATTGTAATTAAGCTTAGCCGAAAGGACATGTAATTAAATTAAGCTTAGGAAACCTAAATGTTAAATCTGAAACTTGATAGCATGAAGAAAATGACTAAAATCCACAAGTTCCTGATTGCAAATTGTTGAATTGGTTGAAGAAGTCCATCTTCTGTTGTGGTTTCGATTTTGTTTGAGATTGTTGTGTAAGAAGGTAGAGAGCTCTGTTTTTGAGCTGCATCGCATACTCTGTTTCATGTTGAATGCCCTGTAGTTTATTCAGATTGGTTTGCTTACTATCTAATGTTGTCTGCAGCGTCCTCATGACCATATTCTATGTGTACAAGATTGTGACTGGTGGCAACCATTTCCCGCCCAAGACTGAGTAATGGCACGTAGCTTCTCTTCCTACACTGATTCTATACTGTTATTTACTGAGAAACAATTACCCATAACCATGGATTTGTCGATATTGCTGGCTAGGCTTTTTGTCGTGTTCTCTGAGTAGTGACTGTATTAATCGAAGAATGTTAGTATTTCCTCAACTGTTAATCCAACTGTTTTCACTACTTCATTGATGCATCATTATATTCATTCCCATGGTGAATGGAATTCGTATTCTGTCACACAGAGCTTACATTCCCTTGTTTGAGAAAGTCGAAAAACGTGCAGAATTCAAAGGATTTTTGATTGTGCAATATGTGTAATAATGCATATTGTTTCCTCCCCATCAATCATTTTTCATTTAAATGAGCAAAGAACAAGAAGCATGTCAAGCTTTTTTTATATTACATGTTTATCTATTGTAATATTGAGATTAAATTAATTTAATAGTTTTTTAATATTAAGAATATTACAAAAATAATTGTATAGTTGAATTAAAATTACGTTGTATAACTAGAACTAATAGTTGTACCAAAATAATTAAATTCTTGGTTCTACAAATCAAAATTAATTAAATTTTAATTGGAATCCAGTTGAATTGGCTGGTTCAATTTGATTTGGTTTGATTAGTGTAATTTGGGGTAAAAATCTCCACCCTAATATCGATTCCAAATCAACTGAAGTTGAACTAAACTGGTTGAATCTATTCAATTTTAGTTTGATTAGCGTGTTTCCATTAAATTTGTCGACCTTATTTAATACTTCATCATTACTTTTGATTCAAAGGTGTGTATCGCATTTAGAATGCCATACTAGACGGAAGAGTATGTCATCGCTTCTCTGAGTCCATCCTCGTTTTTCAATCCGTCGGGTTCATCCTATTTCATGCATACTCCTGCATTATTCGACACCCACGAGAATGGTTTACCAACCTAGCCTAGGTATTGCCATCACCGTGCTCAAAAGTGAAAGCTCATGATAGTATGATACAAATTCAATCCGTTCTATATCACCTACATCAAGCTCGAGAATTCATTCCAAGTTCATTCCCTTGAGCCCATCCCCATTTTCAACTTTCAAGCATGCTCTTACCTTAGTAGTGAAAAAATTATTGGACAAATATTTATTGCTAACACTTCTTCAATTACATCTAGTATAGGAAATTAAACGTACTTATAATGTTTGATGCTTTTGAATGTTAAGCCAGTATTAGTTGAGATAAGAAAAACCTCAATACGGTAAAGAAATTTAATAACTTGACAATTCACCCTCAATTTACCTTTTTATGTTCTTTTTCCAAATTAAAAAGATCAATGCTTGTTTCTTTTTTTCTTAAATTTGGAGTCATCAGTTCTGAATTTGAATAGATAAAAAATAAAATAAAATTTTAATCTAATCATATAAGAACAGTCCAAGAGTTTCAGTGATTACCATGTTTTTTTCACATTTTCACTTGTGTAAATGGTAGGAATATAACAACAACAAATAGATAATTGTTCAACAGCAATTTTGAATAACAAAATTGCAGCAACTTAATAAAAGTCAAAACAATTTCTCAATCTCTATTTAACTATGTATCAAAATCTCCAGAGAAATGCTGTGTGTTAGTATGTAATGAAAACCACACAAAATGTATAGCTATTTCAGTTTGATCCCTGTATCTAACTGCGCTGTTTAGAACAAAAAAGTCACAGTAAGTTAAAGGAGGGAGAAATCTCGGTCGCCCCATTGTCTAATAATGAATTTCTTTTGATTCGAAAGCTCTATGTTCTAAACTATGCTGATATTCCTGTAGCTTCCTTTGGTATCAAAAATAGGAAACAGATCGGGATGAAGATGCAGAAAAACTGGATAATGATTCCTAAGAGAAGGTTGTCGAAAGAACCCGAGGAGATATTCAGAATTGAAGCCAGTCCTGCACCTACGAAAGATCCGAGTGTCGATCCTAAGTTGTTTATAGACATAAAGAGTGCAAATAAAGTTCCTTCAATCCCAGGTGGACAAAGCTGCCCTGATAAGATGAGGAAAGGCATGAACCTGTGATGAAATAGAGAATTGAATGAGTTTATTAACTGCAGGTTTTCAAGATTCATCGTCAGGTTATTTCTACTCAATGGGCCAAAACAAACCAATAGATACATATAGATAGCCAAGCAAGGGAGAATGCATAAATTCTTGATCTGGGCTGTAATGATCTACTGCAAATAAAATTGACTTCTAATACCAAATGTAGAGTACATACTTAAATTGATTGATGCCATCTGCGAGAGCTGAACCAAAAAGCACCATAACCTTGTCTGATATGCCTAATGAAATATTTGATCTAGACACCAAAACTACATCCAGAAGAATCAAAATAGACAACCCAATATGAGTGCACCTGCGAAAAATACAAAGATATCGAAAGAATAAACAATTTTGAAAAACAAATCCAATAATCGTCTCTTCGTTCAACTTTAAGAAAATAACTAAAAGATATGGATACAAGATCAACTTACAAGAGAATCCTTCTCAATTTCATCTTCTGCAAGAACCGGTTATAAATAAAGGTTCCAATCATGAGGCCTAACCACCCAATAACACGTGTAGTGCCCAAGAAGGATGCTTCCAGGTTCAAAATTTCAGTCTGGTAATAGAACATGACAGTCGATAGGTTTGGAAAAGTCACATGTGCTAGGAAAAACCAAGCCATTGGTCTACATTTCCGAAGAGAGAGAGAAACAAAAATAATCATTAGCATGATATATTAACCCACAAGAATAGAAGGATAATTATAACATTTTCTCTATAGATTACAGCATTGACTAATTCACAGTGTCAGTCTAAGGGTGGCTCTACTTGTCTGATGTTTACCTCAAAAATCCAGATAATCTCTTTAATGAAGCATTATTTATTTGCGTTTATCTAGTGATTACAGAAATGAACAATTAACTCATTCACATTCATGCAAATTGATTCAGTATATTTCCAATTTAAAGCAATAAAAGTGAGACAAAATCACTACCTAAGTATGAACCAGCTAAATTAGAAAGAATTACCTTAGAATGATTGGCTGCCGAAAAGCCCTAAACAATGTAAAAGTGGCTAGTTTCAGAGAATGAAACCATCGTGTTGCCAAGGATCCATCTTTTTTAGATCCCTCGGATATACTCATGGTAACTGGTCCATTTTTGGTACTTTTCTGACTCTTCTTTCGCTTCGAAACACTGTTGGACTTCTCAGCAGAAAGATCGTCTTTGCGAAAAGAACTACCATTCATTGATTGGGAGACTCCATTCGAAGTAGAATGTTTGGGAAAGTCTTTCCTGTTTACAGAACTCTCCTCCACTAAACAACATGAAAATAGCTGGATGGTCGGTAATGCTGAAAAAAGTAAAAATATTTTGTTTATCGGTAAATTAGTTAGTGCATATCCTCCAAGCAAACTCCCACAGATTCCTCCCAAAGCCATTGCAATCCAAGATATGGACTGAAGATCACCAGCAAATGAGGCCCTGTTCATGTATACTTGTAAGAACTTAATTCACGTTCTATAAGCTGATAAAAAGAAAAACATATAGAGATAGAGAGCTTCAAATAACAAAGGATCATGTGCAAGCTAAGAAGCACAAATGCGGACAGGTTGACACTTGATTACTTAAAAAAGTAGGACACAAACGCGTCAATTTTAATTCTTTAAATAAGCACACACATATATTTTTACACATTAGATTTTTTAATAAAATCAATTATTTTTTTAGTTTTGGTTTTTGTTGGTAAATTCTTTTAAATCGGATTTGTAGCTATTTAGTCTATCGAAATAGCTTTCAGTTGAACTATATATTAATAATGCTAGAGAAAGAAAAATACATATTAGTAGATGTAAAAAAATAGCATGAAGTTCTTGTTGGAAACATTTCTTGGAGATGTATCAGTGTTTGACATGACATATGTCGGAAATGGACACGCCACTACCCTAGAAGTTCCCATACTTCATAAAGTACAAGAATGTTGAGCAAACTGAATACGTTTTGATGTAGGATATATTGAGAAATATTCAACAAAAGAGAAGAAGCAATCAGCAGCAGAAAAGAAGAAAGCGGAACAACAAAAGAAGAAGAAAGCGGAGGATAAAGCCAGAAGAAGAAAAAGAAGAATCAGGGGAAAGGGGAGAAAACGTTGGTCGCAGCCAATCTAAATTTCATCAATTCACCGAGTCAATTACAATGCAAAAACCATGGTATGAAAAAACGGTGAAGAGGCGCGAGCCAAGGCGCGCCTCAATTTGAGGCGTATGACTGGTGCCTCAAAGCGTGAAATTTGAGGCTTAATTTGAGAGGCGTGCGCCTTAATTGAATCTGCAGCACGCCTCTTGTACGCCTCAGACCGGCCCTTTTGACACATGTTACAGGTTTATGCCACGCATAGGATTGTGATGTATGGGAAGTTGCGATGAATCTGCTGCACGCCTCTTGTACGTCTCAGACCTGGGCAAACAAGTGCGAGCAGAAATGGCTTAGAAATGCCCAGAAATGTTCAGCAACGCAGCTGCAAACTCTGGGCAAGGACCAAACTGCGACCAGCGACGGGAGAAACTGAGGCGGTGCTGTGAAGAAGAAGAGAAGAGAAGAAGGCAACCGGGGACTGAAGAGATAGACCGTGGAAGAAGAAATGCAGAGAAGGTGCTGTGAAGAAGAAGAGACAAAATCTAAAAATGAACACGTGTTGAAAAGTCTATGAATGTTATCAATTACTTTTGCTATGCCCAATAAAAAATGCAATATAAATTTTTTATGCAGTATATAAATTACTTTTTGTTTCAACTTTATTGTTTAAGAATGCAATGAATTAATTTTTTACATTTTAACCCTTCATTCGAAAACAAACTTACAAAAGAAGCCAAATTACTATTTTTTTAATTATGCTTTTGGTTCTTTTAATCTAGATAAGATCACTTTAATTTAAAAAAAAAATATCATAATTAATTTTGTTACAAAATTTTAAAACAATTTAAAATATGATTTTG